TCCACCCCCCCCCCATCCCCCCACGCGCGTCCCTCGGGTCGCGTCCCGGCCCCGTTTTCCCCTCTCCGGAGGTACGGAGCGTTGCGGGGCCGCGCGGTTCGGACCGGCAAACAAAGCGGGGCCGGGCCGGGTAGAGGGAAGGGAGGGGGGGGTTGCGCCCCTCACCGCTCCGCGTCGCCGCCCGCCCCGCAGCTCCGCGCCCCGCGCACGGCCGCGGCCCCTGGCATCGTTCTAGCGCGTAAATTCTTTTCAGGGCCTCTGCGCTTCGTCAGCACTGACAAATACGCATGGAAACGTAATTCCAAAAGGGTTACCTCATTTTATTTCAGATTTTTGTCGCCGTCGTTGTTGTTGTGTTATTATCATTTTATCGTAAGCGCACCGTTTTCAACTCCGAGTTCTTCTCCTGAGCAGCGCGGAGCGAAGGACGGTCCCTACCATAGGATGGGGCGGCCGGATCGGGGCCCCGGGGGTGGCCGGGGATGGCAGCACGGAGGGGCTGAGCCGGGACAGGTGGAGGGATGGGGGGCACGGGGAGCTGCGTGGGGCTCAGCCGGGCAAGAGAAGCGGGCGGAGAGAGTCTGGCTGCCGTTCAATTAATTCCCTGTTCGGAAAAAGAATATTCTTCCTTTCCCCTGCTTTTTTTTTTCCACTTTGCGTGTGTTATTATTATTAATTATTATTATTATTATTATTACTATTTACATTCTGATTGGAAAAAATGGACACACCTTTAGGAACCCCCACTCTCCAGCAATGTCCCGCAACTCCTCTCCGTCCAACGGGGGCGAAATTCTCGGAGCGGGGGAAAAAGGCTTTTTTTTCCTCGTGTTAACTCCGTTGAATGGACGCGCGGAGTTCCCCCCCGACGGTACCTTTAGAAGAATTTTCAGGTGTCGCGTAAAAGAACGTCCCTAAGAGCGTTTCCTGTTATTTCGTCCTTGTTTCTTAACCTCGCTGTAAGCGAACACAAACGCCGAGACACGAATTGAACCAAAAAAAAAAAAAGAAAAAAAAAAAAAAAAAGAAAATACAGTGCGGGTAGCGAGGACCGAGACGCCGTTTGCTTATTTCCTAACAGTCTTAAAATACGTGATTTCTGCCTTCCAACCCAAGGGATGCTTTCCCTGCGCCTGTGAGCTAAAACCCGGCTTCCAAATAATTGCTGAGAGCTTCTTCTCTTGGAGAACGTCCCCACAATCCTTCTGGTGCCTGAATTACTGGCCGAGTCCTGGAGATCGCGAGCCGGAGCGGTGGCACCGTTCCCCGGACGCGGTTTAGCCGAACGAAACCCTGAGCGGGGCAGAGATTTCCCCCCGACAGCCGCCGCCAAACGGCTCCGAGCCTCTCCTTTACTATCGGTTTTATTGTTCGAGCAGATTTCATTGTGAAATCGTGTATTTCCCGGGCTCTGTCCTCCTTAGCGGGTGGAAAGAAGAGCGCGTTCCTCGGAGAAAATCACTGCGGGTTGAACGGTGCGTTATTTCCCACCCCCGTCCCGAGCAGCCCGCATAGATGCTGCTTTTAAATAACAAAAGGGGAGGAGAAAACATTCTCTAGTAAAGCCGAATTCCTTCGTTAGACCGCCTCCTAAACGTGCTAATAAAACTAATTCGTTTTATTTGCCCTGAACTTTTATATCTTGCCCCGTGCGCTGATTAGCGCAGCCCTCTGGAAGGCGGTGGTGTTCTCCTATCTCTCGTTTAGATGTGCCCGTTAAGATACGCCGTTCCCACAGTGAAACTGGGGAGAAAATTGTCCCCGTTCCTCATCGAGGGGCAGCGCAGAGCCTTTGTGGGAGGAAAAATAAGAAAAGGGGGAAAAAAAGAATGGGAGGGAAAGAAAAGAAAATAGAAGAGAGGGTGCTGAATGCACACAAAGGTGAATTGTTTCTCCGATTTTGCTTTTTAAGGCAGGAAACGTGTGGCTCTGCAGAGATTCACGGCTGTTCTGAGAACATTAAAGCGCGTTCAGCCCTTCAGGAAATGTTCTGTTTAGGGGAAATGCGTTCCCCCCATCCAAATGCTGCAGCAATTAAGAGGTTGCTCGCCCGAAACAAGGTGAGGGAAACCCACAAGGAAACGTAGCATCGGTGGTACCAAATGCGGCCCCTTTTCCCGCAGAAGAACGATCTTAATAAAATGCCAACGGAGTGCCCGGTCCTTAGATTACCCTGCACCAGAGGCATCCTTTTTTAGTCCACAAACCAAACCTATTTCGGACCTAAAGATGCACAGAGTAACATGAGCAGGCTGCCTTGCAAGCGCCGGTGCCCCTTCCTCCATCAATTAATAAGAAAAGCATGTTCCCTCTGCTCGGAGAGGGAACTGTGGGACTATAATACGGCCTTTTCCCCCTTTCTTCCCCCTCCCTACAGAGAGAAGCAGCCTCCGCACCCCGAGCTGTCCATCCTCTGGCGGTGGCGTTGCTGATCCCACTCTGCGGACAACCAGCACTAAACTCGAGCCGCTGCTGACAGCGGTTTTGCTCAGAGCGTGGCTCGGTGCTCGTGGTCTGAGGGATGCAGAGAGGGCCACGGAACAGAGCCAGAGCGGGGCTGTGCCCAACGGCACTTGGGAAAAACGGAGTTATCCCAGGAGATGGTTTAATTTTCGGGACAGGAGGGCCGAGGAGACCCCCCCACACACACACCCCGTTTGCTTCCAGCTGCAGAAACCCGAATAGGAAAACCCTTTCTCCTCCCGTCATTCGCCGCGTTTTAAGAAAGCCTTGGGGTATCATTTGTATCTGTCAGAAAACATTAAGCCTTCAACTTTTTCATCCCGACTTTTTGGAAGCGCTGCCGTTGGCCGCCTGCGCCTGGGGCAGCCCCGGGCCGGTGGGGGTCCAAGCGCAGAGGGGCACCGGGAGACACCGGGATGCGCCGGCTGTCACGGGCCGAATGCCACCAAAACATTCCGTTTCCCCCTCTCTGGTAAAAATATATATATATATATATCAGTTTCCCCCCGAAAATTGTGCTTTCCCCACTGGGTTTGAACAGCGGTGGGGCAGGGCCGGCCGGGTCGAGATGAGCGCGGTGCCCCGAGGGCAAATCTCGGGGAGTAACGGGGGGCTCCGGGAGGCCGGGGGTGGCAGGGACGGCCGGGGGAACCCTGAGCGCCAGCGGAGCCGGAGATTGGCTGTGCCGAACGGGGTTGCAGATCCAAAAGGGACTGATCTCGTTTTGCTCAACTTCTTAGGAAAATCGCTCTCCTGGCTGCGTAGAGGACAGGCCGGCTAGGAGCCAGCGTAATTTTCCACCTTCCTACCCTGAGCGATTTAACATGCTTTCTCGGCTGGGATTCTTCCCCCTCTCCGCTTCCCTCTGCCCGCTCGTGGGCACCCGAGGGGGACCCGGTTCGGACGGGGTGGCCGCAGAGCTGTTCGTGTCTGGGCTCGTTTCGTGCTCGCCGTTTTTTGGGGACTGCTCGGTTAGAGCCATGCTGGCGGGGGCGTTCACAGCCCCAACAAGATGGTGCTGAGCTTTTCCTTGCTCTGGGGCGTACACTCGGGCCTCTGCTTGGCTCTGTTAAGGTGATGCTGCTTGGGCAGGACCCACGGGACGTGGAACCGACGGACACCACCCCCGTTACTCTGCGACAGCGAACTCCGTCCCACCGGAGCGGTCCGAGCTCCGCGGGGCACCGCGCAATCCGCGCATACTGTGTGTATCTCCCCTGCCTACTTGCTCCCAACCCAGAACCACGCAGCAAAGGATTGACAAGGGCCGGAGGCTAATAATCGTTTATCTACTCATGCGAGGGGCATTTTCACCGTCGGGGAGTTTTAAAAATGCCCCTGTCACAGCGCAGCCGGCTATGCGCACAGAGGAGCTGTGCGTTTCCAGCAGTTGTCACCTCCCTGCCGGTGTCTCCTGCTTCAGTCAGTGGCGGTGGCCCTTCACCACCCCCCGCACCTTCAGCCGGGCACTTTTGGGAGGGTTTTATTATAGATGTTGTTTTCCTGCAGCCAACTCCCTTCTACGGGGCTCCGGGAAGGGTCGCCAGGGTGAAGGTTGGCTGGTTTGCCTTGGCTTTGCTTGGGCTTGTTTTGACTGACTTTGCTTTGGATGAGTTTGGCTGGCTTGTGTTCAGATTGGATTGGTTTGGTTTGGTTTGGTTTGGTTTGGTTTGGTTTGGTTTGGTTT